TAATTACACAATCTCGAGATCAATACTTGAGATCAACAAACAAAATGGTTCCATAGGCATGCGCAGCCTATTGTATAAGGGTGTGCACCCTAAAGCAGAAACACACACGCCACGTATATATATATGTATAAACAAAAAGATATCCAGGATGCACTCTCAGGACTTGAGTGCATCCTCAAGTCCTGAGAGTGCATCCTGGATATCTTTTTGTTTATATATTGGACGCACTGTGGATGGCACCTGGGCAGATATACTTTCAATACTAGTAAGGAGAGTGCCAAGCTATCTATTTAGTATTTTATATATATATATATATATATATATATATATATATAGAATCCAATAAATCTTGCACTCCACCAATTCCAAATTAAGTGCCCGGTGCTTGTCAGCCAAAAATACAAAATAGTTGTTAGTGATAGCACTCCATGGAGTGCTATCACTGACAACTATTATGTATATATATATATATATACACACACACATACCTACACACACACACACACACACACACACACACTGCTGTGTGTGTGAGGGTGCTGTGTGTGAAGGCACTGTGCGTGTGTGCAGATGCTGTGTGCGAAGGCGCTGTGTGCATTCGTCTTTTTTAACTCCAGTGGACTTGGCTTTTTACCCAGGTAGTATTCTGTGTACACTACATACTAGGAGATTCAGTATTTTGAGGACAGTGTTTTATGGGTTGTTTCCCCCTCTAGCATTCTGTAGGTTTCTACAGGAGGGTTTTTGATTAATTTATGTGGGAATTTGATACATATCTCTCCTATCTCTTACCATCACCCCAGATCTTAGCCCTATAAGGTTTCCCGGTTATATGCATCTCTATATGATACGGCACGGGTGTCACACGTTGGATGTGTAGGATTCTTTAAAATACCACTGGGCGTTCTTAGTGGTCTTATTATTGAAGTATATATCCTTCACCTGACACTCTGTTTGATAGTTGTCTGCCCTCTCTACATCCATTTTATTATTTGTATTGATTATTTGTATTTACGTCATAATATTTTACTGTATTATTCATTAAAGGTTACGTTTTAGCATAATATCAAGGAAGGGGCTTCCTAGTCGGTTGACCCTGTGGGGGGAGGGGGAGTTCCCTCTTTCCCCTAGGTCTTCCCCCTGTCTTTCTTTCTACAATACGTATGTAAGGGTTACCCCTTTTTCAGGTCGCCCCTGACACACACTTGGCTGGTTGCCTTTTGGCCACTAGCTTTCTATTACATTTTGAATACAGTTTATGATTAGATTTTCAAAATGTCCACGTAATGTTGCAGTTTTGCAATACTAAGTAAAATATGTCAAATGGAAAATAAAATGAACGAGAGGACAGAACAAAGGGGCACAATGATATTACCGAAATGCAGAGCAAAAACTAACTCGGAGAGACACACTGTCAGGTTAAAAGCAAAGGACTTGGAGTGTGTACCGACTCAAAAGTAACTTTAGCTAGAACTGCCAAGACTTATCGAGTATGTAATGAAGAATGGCGTAATGAAACAGAGCACAGCAGATACCCGACAGACAAAAGAATGACATTGTGAGACACACATTTAGATTAAAAGCAAAGTGAGACAAAGAGCAGCAGTAGCTCAGAATTACATTTAGTTAAGGTTGTCAGCAGAGCCCATGTGCATAATGGCTTTTCCTGCGGGAAACAATAAAAGTAA